AAAAAAAAAAAAAAAAAAAAAAAAAAAAAAAAAAAAAAAAAAAAAAAAAAAAAAAACGGAAAACGGACGAGGCAAAAAGACGGAGTCGACGAAAATAAAAATAAAATGGGAAATAGGAAACGAAGCTCTGCCTGAAATGAAATGCGACTCAAATGCACCTCAAATTCGGTCTCATTCTGACCGATCCATGGTCCAGAATCCGATATAACCACTGGATCGACGGCCCACATGACGCGTCAATTTGATCTGGGTCGCCGGTGGATCCAGCTGTCGTTCTCTCTCTGGGACCAAAATAACCCTCCACTTACATGTTATTTAAACGAAAATGAAAATTGGATAATTAATTTATATGATTCGTAATTTCATTTTTTTCAATATAAAATTAAATTGTTCTCTCTTCCGTACATGTTTTCTAATTACAATAATTGTAATATTTTATACTTTATTTTTTCAACCTTTCTTTAAAAATATTCCTAAATTTTATATTTTATTTCAAAAAAAAAAAAAATTCTAAACTTTGAAAATTTTGAGAAATAACTTTAAATTTTCAAAAAAAAAATAGTTAATATTTTATTTAAAAATTTTCATTAAATACTTTTAAAAAATTTCTATTTAAAAGTTTTTTTTTAGTTTAAGGGCATTATAGAAATTTCGGTTTTACTTATTTATTTATTTAATGAAATTGGAGGAATTTAAATTATGACCTTTAACCATTGCTAATTATACAAAAGAAAAAAAAATTTATTAATTAAATTTTGAAAAAAAAACATTTATTATATAAAAAGAAAAGGACAAGATATATGTTTTTTTTTTAATTTAATTTTAGAAATTTTCAGATTCTTTTTTATTTTTATTTTTATTTTTATTTTTTATTTTTTTTTTACTGTATTACAAAGTTGGAAAATAATACATTTTTAATAATACACACATCGCCATAAAGTTGTTAACCTTTTTTTATAACTCATTTGAATCTTTCTCTATGTTTGAGTTATAATATTAAAACCACATAATTATGCATTAAAAGAAGATAAAAGGTTATAATAAAATCATTATTATTTTTAATCTAAATTTTAAAATATTATATTACCATAAATATAATATGTTGACATGGAAAGACTATGAATAAAAATTAATTTCAAAAATAAAAAAGTGTAATATTTTGAAAAGTAAGGTTTTACTATTTAAAAAAATGATTTAACTATTTTCCTTTTTTATATTTATAAATATATTAATAGAAAAGGTAAGAAAATATATGGGGAAGGTCGACAGGTGGAGTGATAATTGCAACACGTGGAACATGATGGTTGGAGATGGGGAGGCAGCATCACAAAATCATATGAATCACTTCCACCAATTTTAAATTAACATCTTAATACTTTATTTATTTTATTTATTTTTAAACCCATAAAATTTCTCTTTTAAAAAAAACCCTTTTAAACTCGTTTTTTATATTATATAAATTAATTTTCATAATTTTGACTTGAATTATAAAGTTGGAATTTAAATGAAATGAAATGAAATTCAATTCCCAAATCCTTCGGATTCCAATAATTAATTCACTCAAATTAATGGGTGTATTCAAGTACTGAAAACATTTTATAGGATAAGAATTGAATCTCAAATTTCATAGGATTCCAAATACAATAAATGAGAGAAATATTATTATTACTGTCACATTTAGGTCTTTTAATATGTTGAATAAATTATAAATGGTCCTCCGCTACTCGTCCTTCCTTCATAGACTTCATGTACTTTGAGTGATGGAATTAACAAATAGTTCATCCATTTCTTTTATTATTGTTATTATATTAAGTAAATAAATATTATATTACTGAACTCATTCGAACGAGAATGATCCTAAGAATATGATGATTAAAAATTTCGATAACTACTATTTGTACCAAAAGTTGCTGAATTATGAATATATTACATTTTATGGCATTTATTTTCAAATCATAAATCATAAAATCATTTCACGCCTTAAAAACATATGAATATTAATAATAATATGGAGGAAATGAAAGGTACATAAACAAAGCTATATCACATCTAAGAAGAGTAACTCTAAAAAAAATGAAATTTATTATATGTACCAATAAAATACATGTTCGGTAATTTAATTCATAATAATAAAAGAAAATAAAACACGAGATTCCCAACATTCGCACGTGCGAAGGAGGAGGGAGAGAGAGAAAATTGAAAGTAGAAAGCGTTAGCTAGAAGGTGAGGGAAGGCGAAGGATCCAATGCTTTCATTAAAGCTTTCGTTTCTCCCGTTTCTGCATTTCCAGCTTCAGTTGAATGAAACCGTTTTCTCTCTCTACCCTGACAAAATCACACCTCCATTATTATTTATTCTTCTTCCCCATTCTCTAAGCTACCAACAACCTCCATTTTCATCATCAAATCCCCTTCTCCTTTCTCCATCAATCGTCATCATGGCCTCAGGATTCCAAGAAATCTCCCCCCTCACGCACCCTCGCATTTCCTTCACCGCCATTACTACGCCACAATCCTTCCGCGTCAATTTGAACGACGCCACGAACCAGATCGATTTCATTTTCGCTCTAAACGATGATCCTCCACTCGCTTCCGATTCCGTTTCCGTTTCTCTCGATCGTTCCGCTCCACCAGACTCGATCTCCGACGACGACGACGGTTTCAGAACGCCGACGTCTTCCGATCATAAGATTCCGGTGGTTCAACAGTGTCCGCCGGCTCCTAGACGACCGAAGCCGATCTCCTGCTCCAGAACCTTGCCGAGAACTTCAGGTGTTCGTAGAGGTTTTCGAGTGTATATCTCAGACGAAATCGCGGACTCGATCTTCTGCCCCGATTTGCTGCACCAGAAGACTAAGAAAGCTCGGAAGAACGGTAATGGCGGTGAATGAAATGAAATTGTTAGTTTCTCTTTATTAATTAATCAACTGTCGATTTCTCCTGAGAGGAAAATCATCCAAAGATCCAAAAACTCCGACGAATAGGAGACCAGGCACGAACAAAATCCATGAATATCTGTGCAGTTCCACGTTTTCTTTTTGATGTATATCTGCCTAGTTATGAACGCCTTTTTGCTCCTCAATGAAGAATTTGGATATTCCACATGGTTTCTATAGTCAATTTGTGATCCTAGATTTTGATCTTTTCATACTTCATAATTTATTAGTTTAGAGTTTATAAGATAACGAATGATTTTATTTCTTGTTTCATTTTAAATTTGATACGAACGAACGAATTTCTGATAGCTGATTTAATTTCATTTGTATATTAACTTTATAATTATTTTATAAAACTTTATCATAAAAGTTTTTAATTAAAAGTTTGACATTTTTGGTACAAAATATATATATATTAAGTTTGGTACCAAGTAGCTTTATTTTGGGTAAGAATTATTATACCCAATAGCTTTTAATTTAGTTTTGAACGAGAATAATGAAAATAAATAATTAATTATGGAGATGGCATATGTAGATATGATTGAGTTAAAGAGATTGTTAATAGTATGTTGGGGTTTAGTATATTTTAGTAAAAGTTGCATCTTTGGTCCTCTAATCATTTAATCACATTTCCATTTTTATATTTGAAGAATAAGAATCTCAAAATATGATTGATTTGATTGATTTAGAATGGAATGTTTATTCAAATTTTAAATAAAATGAAAAAATATATATATAATTGATTTTGATATTAATTTATAAAATTCAATATTAATTTTATGAAAGGAAGAATAATTTTATTTCTTATAAAAGAAATCAAATTTAATGGAGCCTTTTGAAACAATACATTATCATATGTTTATTATTATTTCATGTTTGTAGGTGAAAAGAATAATACTTTAAAAATAAATGAGTTACCATTTAGGTTTATAAATTTTAAGTTATTTATTTTAAATGAAAAGAGCGTCTTTTAAAATATAATTTACATGAGTAAATTTATAGATTTATATTTCAATGAAAAAGTTATATATTTGTTTTTTTTTAAAATATATATGTTTATAAATAAAGAAAAAAAAAAACAAATTCAATTCCATTCCAACCCGGCTTACAATAAATTTAATTATATATATAAATATTTTTATTTATAGCTTTAGGGCTTAGGGTTTTTTTTGGGCCCGTTTAAATATATATATATTTTTTATTAAGGTATTAATAAGGAGTACCTGGATTAGTTTGGAAAAATCTTTTGGACTAACCTAAAATTTCGGGTTAATTAAATTGCCAACAATGATCCATGTTCACAATCCAATCCAACTCAACTCTCTATTTTCGAGTTTAGTTGGAATGAGTTAGAGTTATACTTTTTAAAAAAAATTATACGTATGTTAAAAACTGAAGTCTCATAAAATTCAAATATCAAATATTTATTATTTAAAACACACCACTAACATCAATTATAAACATAAAATATTCATAGTTTTTATAATAAACTAAAGAGTATGGTAGGGTAAAGTTGTAATTATATTTTTGAGTCCCGACCAAAATTTTCAATTTTTCAAAAATTCAACCGAACCCAAATAAAAAAAAGTAAAAATCTAACTTAACCTTACTTTTAAAATTTAAATTCGACAGTATAAGTTGATCGAGTTCTCGATTCATATTAAGTTCGCGTTGAATCTTTTAAAATTCAATAATGTGGGGGTGGGAAATGGGCTCTCCAACCTCTCTTATCCACTAAATAATATTAATAAAAGTAAAAACAACAACAATTTTAATACAAGATGGGCCGAGAGCTTAGAAGTCCAAGAAAAAGATGGGCCAAAATCCAACTTATTTCAGCCCATATTAATATCATTATTATATTAAAATGTAGATTTTAAATAATTTCTCATAAATTCCTTAATTAATGATTAATTATCATTTTTTTAAAAACTCAAAATAAAAAATAAATATGTTAAAAAATGTAAAGCATATAGATGCTAAATATGGATAATAAGAAAATTAAAAAAATAAAGGAAGAAAATGAAAAAAGGAAGGGCTCTAATAAATACCGTTGACCGTTTCTTTTTCCTCCAAAAGAAATTGTACGGTAAATGAACCCTTGATTTCCTCTCTTCCACTTTTCTTCCTATTTCCTTATTAAAAAGAAAATAAAAAATACTTTTTATATATAAAAAAAAGCAATAATAAAAGAATGAGAAAGAAAGAAATAAATAAATAATGAAAAAGTAAATAAAAGTCAAATAACAGTAGAAGAATTTACTCCTTCCTCCTTCCTGCTTCCTCCTTCCTCCTTCCTCCTTCCTCCTCCGAGTTCATTCACGCTGGCGTCCAAAATGGAGCGCAAGAAGACGATGACGATGAACTGGGCTGGACTGCAGGATGACGACGACGACGACCGGTTTTTTGAGTCCATTGAGAGAATGTCGTGCGCCATGCCGGAGGATTTGGCTTCCTCTTCTGATGATGACGATTTCGAAGACAGTAGAATGTCCTTCGCCTCCGTCGTCTCCACCAAACACCACGAGGATTTCAGAGCCTTTGCGGTGGCTACACCGATGAAGCCAGAATATGACATTTGGATGGCGGCACCGGGATCGATTACGGAACGTCGCAAGCGATTGCTCGAAGGAATGGGCCTGAATAGTGGCAAACAATTTCAGAGGATTCAGAGCAAAGAAATCCAGAGGGAGGTTTCGAGGAAATTACTTGAGGATGTCCAAGTTTGTCAGCCAGAAATTGTCGAATCTCCTGATGTGGACCAGAAGCAAGAGGCATCGCAAACGCCATTACCGATCGTGCTCGTACGATCGCGATCTGATGGAGATATTGACACATTCTCGTTTACCAAGAGACGGAAAGACGAACTAATTGGAAATGTCTCGAAGCAGCGCCTCACGAGAACTTACTCGATGATAATGGCGTCGAGTGCTCGGATGTGTAATTATCCTGAGTCGATCAGAGTTGCGGCGAACGAATGTGGACAAACGATTAGGCACGGTGCGACGCTGTCGACGGTGATCTCAAACAACAGATTCGGCTCATTTTTTCTGATCAAGAATCTGGATACAGGAAATGAATTCATCGTGAATGGATACGACCAAGACGGAATGTGGAATCGTCTCAGCGATATTCAGACGGGGAAGCAGCTTACGATGGAGGAATTCGAGAAATGCGTTGGATATTCATCGGTGGTGAAGGAAATGATGCGAAGAGGGAACGGATTCTTCGGCGATAAGAAGCTCAACATGAATTCGTTATCGAAGAGCTTGAGAATGAGTAAGAGAAGAGGAGCGGCTCTATTGAAGAACATCAAGGGCTCAATGACAGGTTTAATGGGGGAAAAGGAACTTTCTCAAGCGCTAGATTCAAAACCTAGCAAGAACGCATCATCGACTAATTCTCCGCCTTCATCCTCCTCTACGGCGGCGCCGTCGTCGTCAGAGTGGGTAAAAGTGAGACAGAGCGGCAGATCGTACAAGGAGCTTTCGGCGCTGCATTTTTGTCAGGAAATTCAAGCGCATGAGGGCTCAATTTGGACGTTGAAATTCAGTTGCGATGCCAAATTGTTAGCGAGTGGAGGTGAGGATCGAATAATCCATGTATGGGAAGTGCAAGAATGCGAAGTAATGTCGATGAAACCAAACGAAGAAGGAAGCCTTACGCCGCTCCACCCAGCTTTCTGTCCCTCACCTGATAGGACTGTAACAGGAGATGCTTCTCCATTGCCATCCGATAAGAGGAAGAAAGGAAAGGGGCTTTCTGGAAGCAGGAAAGGCAATGTGATTCCTGATTATGTTCATGTTCCTGAATCTGTTTTCTCACTTTCCGATAAACCAATCTGCTCTTTGAGTGGTCATCTTGACGATATTCTTGATCTCTCTTGGTCTTCTAATTCTCAGGTCAGCTTCATACATTTTTTGATTTCATATTTGGTTTCTCAAATAATCTAAAATCCCCAATGTTGGTGATGGAATTTTAGCTCCTGCTTTCATCTTCAATGGACAAAACTGTAAGGCTGTGGGACATGGAAACCAAAAGCTGTTTAAAAATGTTCGCCCACAACGATTATGGTTAGACTCTTTCAGTAATCTTACATGTTTTTTGTTTTTAGTTATGGAAAAAGAATATAATTATTGTTATTGTACAGTGACCTGCATACAGTTCAACCCGATGGATGATAACCAGTTCATCAGTGGATCACTTGATGCAAAGGTGAGGATATGGAACATCCCTGATCGATATGTCGTGGATTGGACTGATCTTCACGAAATGGTCACTGCCGCTTGCTATACACCCGATGCCCAGGTTACTCTCCTCCTCCTTAAATTTAGAGATATATTTATTTGAAGTATCTACTGTGATATTATTATTATTATTATTATTTTTCAAACATGATCTGTGCTGCTATGACATTTTATTTTATGAAAAAGATTACAAGAATATTTCTTACCATTTTATGAACAAAATTATTATTATTATTTTATGAAAAACGTAGTTTCAGTTGGTATATTAATGTTAAGAGTATTTGTGAACAAAATTCTTACCATTTTTATGCAAAAGCTCACAAGGATATTTCTTTAAACCATTTTAAAGTTGAAGTGCATTAATAAATTTTTTAAAAATTTAACTTATTTTTTTATGGTAGAAATAACCAAATCATTAAAATTGTCACGTTCACAGTAACTGTACAGGGATGGCTAAAAGAAATACATTAAATTATTATTATAAACTTAAGTTGTAAGATTAAATCAGTACTTGAATTAAAAAAAAAAAAAAAATCAAAATGTTTTCTAACAAGAAATCTACATCGATTACCCAATAATGTTTGTTGTTGAGTAGTTCATGTGCTCAGGTAAGAGCCACATAGATCCAACTTGGTCAAATTTGAAGATTTAAGTGGGTTGTTTTTATTTATATAAATAAAGTGTGTGTATACTTCATGAATGATGTATGTAGATATTTATGGCACATTATGTATACATACATGTATATATTTTGAGTCATATTCGTCTTGGTGAATAATGTTAGATGTACAGTCCGCCTAAATCATGCTTATGCTTCTGCAGGGTGCCATAATAGGTTCACATAAGGGGATTTGCCGAACGTACACCATAGAGGGTATAGATATTAAATTCCAATCGATTAACTATAATGATAACGATAACAATAATAATAATAATTGATTTTGTTCTAAGTTAACTTACCAGTATTATTTGGAGTATAGATTCCAAGTTAGAACAAAAGCACCAGGTTGATGTGCAAAGCAAAAAGAAGGCCCAAGGAAAAAAGATCACTGGGTTCCAAGTAATTATGCCTATCTTCTTCTAGCCTCCATTTATTATTTGCTACACTAACTAAATTAATGCTGCAATAACTTGGTACCTGAACAGTTTGTTCCAGGGAGCCCCACTGAAGTGCTGGTTACCTCTGCTGATTCTCGAATCCGAATCTTGGAAGGCACCGAAATTACTCAAAGATTCAGAGGTAAGATAGCTCTTGGATGGATAATTCTTCATTCCAATAGTGTTCATCTTAAAATGGCCTGTTTACCATAGAACTGATATTGTTGGATATTAGGCTTCCGAAACACGAACAGCCAACTTACAGCATCGTTCAGTCAAGATGGGAAATATGTGATATGTGCAAGTGAAGATTCTCAAGTTTTTGTATGGAGAAGAGAGGAGCCACGAAATTCAAATTCTGGAAAGAAAAGTTTGATAGCAACTAGAGGTTATGAACACTTCCCTTGTAAAGATGTTTCTGTAGCAATTGCATGGCCTGGCATGATGAACAGCGAGCCTCGGTTGTCGCAAATGAACTCGAAAAGAAATTCTAAACGCTGCCCATCGCAGTCAGCTTCAGCCTGCAGCTCACCAACTCGAGAAGAAGGCAGCTCGGTTGGAAATAGTAAGAAACAGCTGCCACCTCTACCAAAGAAAAACAACAATGCTGCAGAGAATAATAGTGCCTCAACAACTCCTCCAGATGAGGAGCCACAGCAGCCAGCTCAGGTGACTCGATCAGATTCCAAAACTGGCGAATCGCTCACTCCATCACCTTCCATCAGGTCAGGCGATTCGCCTTCTATTTCTTCTTCTGCTATCAACAGCTCATCGTCTTCCTCCTGGCCTTCCTCTTGGTCTTGGTTTGATGTCGGTAATAGCCATGGACATCATGCCATCCCAGCCACCGCATGGGGATTGGTCATTGTGACTGCTGGGCTGGGAGGTGAAATAAGAGCCTATCAGAATTTTGGACTGCCACGTAGGATTGGACGACAGACCAATTTCTGGCCAACAGCCTAGAAGAGTAAATTGATTGGTGACCAAACAAATTCCCATGGTGATCTCCATAGGATTGGGAATTTGGTTCTAGCTTTACCATATACAACTCTTCCAGTGAACTCAGTATACTAGGATGGAGTTCTCTGATACATATATAGGGCTAAAATACAAGCTGCCGGGAGGTTTGTTTCAAAGGCTAAAGCTGCTGTATTTGTAGATTGTTAAATACAGCAAATATGAACTTCAGAAAGTATAGTAAATGTACCCTACCTGCCAACAATTTTTGGCATTCAACATTATTACATTATGTTTTTTTGTACTAGAATGCTTATAACAGTTATAATATCTTAGGCAGCACACCAGGTTTATCCAGAATTGAGGATGTTTATACAGGATTCGGTAGAAGAACAATGTTCGTTGAAAGAAGTCACACGTTCGCTAACTAAAAACTATGTGTTTATAAGTAAACTACAACTTATTTTGGAAAATCAAAATACAAAACGATGAAAACTTATCCTCAAAACGGACAATATCATATTATTGTGGAGAGTTGTTGTTCGATATCAAAATCATTTCGTTAACTTTGTTATGTCAATACAACCCTCAAGTATTGAACAAAAAAATTGAGTCTTGAAAATCGAGTTAAAGTGACTCGAAGTGTAAGACAAAATGAGTACTTTGTTCGAAGGCTTCAGAAGCCTTATAAAAGCGTTTTGTCAAAAATATATATTTTTCAAATCGAGATCAAATTTGTAATTATTAAAAAATATATATCTTTTAAATAGTAATTATTAAAAAATATATATCTTTTAAATCTCTATTTTCTCGAGAAAAATAGTCAAAATCATTTAAAAATATTTTAAATTGGGGCAAAAATTATTAAAAGTTAGGATAATTAAAGGACCAAAAAGTGTTTTAAAAAAAAAACATTTATGACGTGATTTAGTAGTTGTTTTTTAAAAAAAACATTTATGACGTGATTTAGTAGTTTGAGTTTGGTTATCTAAACAAAATATCTAATGTAGTTGGGATTAATTATTAAAAAATGTAGAATAAAAAACAATATTTCCCACATTTCGCTTTTATGACATGTCACATGACACGACAACAACTTTATTTTATTTAATGTTTTAATAATTATGATGTGACAACTACTAAATATAGCATTTAATAATATATATATATATATATATATATATATATCATGGAAGATAAATTATAGAACTTAGATTAAATATCATGGCAGTTAAATCTCAGTTGATTAATGCCTTTCTATATGAATAGGGAAAAATGATCAGATTAAACCTTCCAAAAGTGGCTATGACTGAATAATGAGCAAAGCCTTATTAGAACTCAAGAACATAAGTACTCAGACAAGCATTCATGACCTACGAAGAAAACGACGACGACAGATTCGATCACCTACGAAGCGTCTCGTGCTTCACAGGCATTCAAGTAGATTTTTGTAGATTTAGTGAACGTGACCATTGCTGTTCTTCCATATCCAAGATTCTTATATCAACTCGATAATCAGCTTAGCTCGAACAAGATTCCGAGCTGAAGATGCCAACTTAGAAACTCTTATCGACCTCCTCATCACATTCAACCGGAAACCTTCCTGTACTTTGGCCACCAATCTTCCCTAATGACCCCAAAGCAGATAAGCTCTTGAAGCTACTGCTCCCCTCACTGAAATTCGACTTTTTCGATCGTCTTTGTTTTGATGAACTAATCTCAGACTCTGCGTTATCAGTCACCTTGATCTTGGCTACGAGTAGTTGCGTAATGCTGCCTCGACAAAAAGGGCAAAGCGGGGCAGTAGGACTATTGCTCGAGATATTTGGCTTCTTGTAACAGCATAAAGCTAGGGTGCATGGCGCACACATTTGATGACCACAAGGATGGACCTCTAAAGTGCAGACATGTTCAAAGCATATGCAGCATAACTCGACATTGCATCCCTATTCGAAAATTTCCACAAGCGAATATAAGAATCGGAGTACGTGCAGTTTGAGACAACAATATCATATCTTTACATCGCGCTATAGTTTAGTCAACTATAGCATAACTCGATGTTTCGTTTTGTGTTTTTTGTGTTTTCGGATATATGGATATTACCTGGCCTAAATATAATATAGCTAAGATCGATATTACCTCGGATTCTGCATCATCCAACTCAACATCAGATTGTAAAGGAGATGGAGGTGAGCAGGAAATCTGCTGCAATATGGCCTTCTCTCTCTCCATGTTTGCTTCCACCAAGGCCCTCTCTAACAGAGCTTTTGCTTCTTGATTTAGCTCATTGATGAACTTCAGTTTTGATGGCCAAACAAGAGGTTCTGCTGCTGAAGGATTCAGCAAGGCAGCGCATGCCCGATTCTTGCGCTTCATAGCGACTGTGTAGGGTATTCTCCTGCAATCAAGCATTGACAGTTGAATTTTCAAAGAAATTGTGACTGAATGTGAGCAGCAACTTGCCAGGATGCTGCTATTGTCCTAGAAGGTTAAGGTTATTGAGTATTTATAATCATTTGATTCACAAGTTCATGATTTCAAACCAAGTAGATTCTTCTCCAACAACATACTCAGTCAAGAAACTTCATAATGAAAAATCTCTTGAAGTTTTCGGATGAATCGAGACATCAAAGTGTGTAGCCAAAGTTGTGGGCTTTAGAAGTTTGAGTTTTTTTGTAGCTCATGGGATTGTGTGAACCCACGTTGGTTGGAGAGGAGAACATTATAAGGGTGTGAAAATCTCTTCCTAGTAAACGCGTTTTAAAACCTTGAGGCTGACTACTATACATAACAGGCCAAAGCAGAGCGTTGGGCATGGGGATTAGAGCTAGACACCGGGTGGTGTGCCAGCAAGGACGTTGGCCCCCAAGAAGGTAGATTGTGAGATCTCACATTGGTTGGAGTGGGGAACAAAACATTCCTTATAAGAGTGTGGAAGCCTCTCCCTAGTAGACACATTTTAAAACCGTGAGGCTGACGACGATACGTAACGGGCCAAAGCGGACAATATCTATTAGCAGTGGGCTTGAGTTGTTACAAATGGTATCCGAGCCAAACACCGGGCAGTGTGCTAACGAGGACATTGGGCCTCCACATTGGTTGAAGAGGGAAACGAATCATTCCTTATAAGGTGTGGAAATCTCTCCCTACTAGACACGTTTTAAAACCGTGAGGTTGACGGCAAAACGTAACGGGCCAAAGCAGACAATATCTGTTCGCAATGGACTTGGGCTGTTACAGATTATCGGCTCCATATTTACTCACATACTAGTGAAGGTTCAGTTTCACAACGTCAAACTATACAAGCCTAACCCGTGAGTCAAACGCCTTAGAACTTGGAAAAAGAGCTCAACAAATGAAGGATACAAATTAACAAATAGGCAGGGCAACATCACAGTATAGCTGCAAAAAAAGATTGATCAATTCATAGAACTTGCTAAACCTTACCCAGCTGCATCCACTTGTAATCTTTCTGCTCCCCCCGCAAGCAATTCCCGAACACATTCTAAAGAACCACTCCGAGCAGCCAGATGAAGAGGCGAACTCCCCGGATAGCTGCAGCAAATCAATGTACCTCTCTTGGTTATAATGAAACAAAAGCTAATACAAATACAAATACAATCTACATCACAATCTGCTTAGATATATACCCATAACCACAAGTTAAAGCACAAACAAGAGCCCCATTTGCCAAAAGGATCTGAGCGCACCGTGGCTGTCTACGTCGTGCAGCTATATGCAATGGCGTAGCACCACCTCCATCTCGAATGTTCACGTATCTGAGAAATCCCCTGTCGACGACATCGACTTCAAGGTAAGTAAACCATCAAAATACAGAAGATCATGATCTGAAGCAATGAGAAACTAACCAAGTGGCTGCTACTGGATCTGAATGAGCAGCAGAAATTATAGCTTCTAAGCAATCTGAGTGGCCATAATAAGCAGCATAATGCAAACAGGTTCGTCGATTTAGAGAATCAAACATCAGAATCTATTGAGATCATAAGAACAACACATTGTTAATGATTACTTTGTAATTGAATTAAGCATACACCAAGAACATTCAATAAATCATACAAATTGGGACACAAACGTTTGCTCCTGCTTCAATAAGTCTCTGCACACATGATATCTTCCCATTCATTGTAGCCAGCATTAATGGGGTCTAGCTCAATCATAAACAAAATCAAGAACATGTTCAAAGATTATATCTAATTTCAGTGATGAAAGCGCAAATTGATTCATTGGAAAACCAAAACAAGAAGTACACATGAAATCATTACCTGTTTATTGCAATTCAACACATCAGGATTCACACTCCGTTCTAAGAGCATAGAAAGAATCTGATTAGACAGCAAAAACCCATCAGATACAAATGTTAGCGATTCACCAAACAAGAAAAAAAAAACGGTAAGAATCGCGACCCACCTCGATCTGACCATAAGCAGCTGCGATGTGCAGAGCAGACATCTTCATACGAGGAGTGGTCTGTTCCAAGACAGTTGGATCGGTCCTTACCATAGCATCAACGAGCTCCAAATCCCCATTCTGCACAGCTCGGAACAGGCCATTTTCAAAGCGTTCGCCGCAGCTCGGGCCCTGACCCATCACCTCCCGGCCGGATTCAGCCGTCAGCACATGGAGATGTGCCCAGCAACTGATTCACGCGCCACCACGTGTGGTGGTTTGCCGGAGTCGTTTTGCTGGTGGATTGGGCGTTGTTGCTGCTGCTGCTAAACGCTGATTGTGAAAGGGAAATTTCTTCGGAAGAAAATCGTGGGGTGTGGGCCTTCTTCGACTGCTTGGCTTGACCCTTTTGTGTGAAATTTATGACTATCGATCGCAGAATTTGACCCCTTCTGGCGTGAATACGAGTGCTGTTTCTTTTGGTTATTTTATTGAAGCAAAAAGAACACAGATTAAGTCCATTGTTGGATGAATCGGTTGGTGACCTCAAACTTTTACGGCGACAAGTTTTCAAATGCATATAATACTCATTCATTTCTTAAAATTTTAATAGATATTATTTTTCTAGCCAAGCTTTGGTGTTGGTGTGGAATCTCACAATTCACTTCCTCTGCACGCCCCAGCATCTATTGGGGTGAGGTTTCCAACCGCTGTGGCTTCTCACAAAATACACTCCTCCAGAGGGCCTAACGTCTACTAAGGAGAGGTCTCACAATCCACTCATAGTCCACTCTCCTAGAGGGCCCAACGTCTACTATAAGGGATTTCTCACACTCTTATAAGCAATGTTTTCATTCTCCCCTCCGATCGATGTGGGATCTCACAATCTACTTCTCTTGGGGGCCCAACGTACTTGTTGTCACACAACCTAGTGACTAGCTCTGATAACATTTGTAACCGCTCAAACCCACCGCTAGTAAATATTGTTCACTTTAACCCGTTACATATTGTCACCATCCTCACGATTTCGAAACATGTGTACAAGATAAAGGTTTCTCATATACTTATAAGGAATAATTCGTTCTCCTCTACGATTAATGTGGGATCTCACAAGAGTATATGTCAATTATCGTTGAACTATGCTTGTGATGACAAAAATACTCGAGCTACACTTTCTATTATAAAAAGAAAATACCTCTAATCTTAACAATTTTAGTACTGCAATTTAATAAATCTTTAGTAAACTAAATATAATAAATATCCTTTAAATTTTAGTAAACTAAATTGTTATTTAGTGAAAATTGAAGGTCCAAAATCTTAGGCAGAGCAGCCCAAGCCCAAAATGCAGTGTGAGCCGAGCAGTAATGCGCGCGATTGAGCCCTTCTCCCGGCCTCTCTCACGAAAGCGCTCTCCCGTTAAAAATCTCCTGATTTCTACTCTCCAGAGACGAGCCAAATTGATTTCGGACTTCAGAGCTTCGCTCCACGTTAATCTGATCAGAATCCGGTGCATAACGGAGTGCCTCATTTTCTGGATCCGTCGTGTTTCAGACTTTAGAGGTTTGCTTCATCTTCTAATGAGCTTCTTTTTTTTCTGATCAGAATCTGATGGCTTGTTCTTACTCACACACACATATATATAGTAGTTTGGATGAATAGGAGAGAAGAGGATTGGAAGATCTGGAATAATGAACTCATTGAATGTTATTGACTTCATGGTGGTTTCAATGTGTTCATTATTCCAGAGATTGCTTCTTTGATTGTATTGCTTACTAACCATCTCATTTATGAATGTTAGATTCTGAATGTTTCCTAAGCTTCAAAACCATTTGCTATATTGTGTTTAGAGACCCTATTTTTTCCATTAGAGTTTTCATTTCTTGAGATGACTAGTGAGATTCATTTAATTGCAAACATCATAAAGTTTGCAGATATAATTCCACTTGAAATTGCATCTCTCGCAAATAAACTAAGTTAACAATGATCAGTGTAAAACAAGAAACCATTCAAGGATGCCTCTAACCTCGGGAGAAAATCTGGAGGTCTTTCGATTTTGCCTGTTCAAGATCTCCGGTTAGCTCACATATATTGTCCTCTTTGAGTTTTCCTTCTGGACTTCCCTTAAGATTTTTAAAACGCATCAGCTAGGGAGAGGTTTCCACACCCTTATAAAGAGTGCTTCATTCCTCTCCTAACCGACGTGGGATCTTATAGACGCGTTTTAAAAATAAAAACTCTCCCTAGCAGACTCGTTTTAAAAACCTTAAGGGGAAGCAAGCTCGGAAGGAAAGACTTAAAAGGACAATATCTACTCATAATGGACTTGACGTGTTACAATAAAAAGATTTAGTGGTGTTAGAAAGAAGGTTTTACTCGGTGGATGAAGGAGGCTATGGATATGGACTGGATATGATGGTTAGAAATGAAGCCTCTTAGTTTTGAATTAGTTTCTGGTTCCTATGTCAAGTGTCTGCGGTAACTTTTATGAGGAGAGTATCCTATCCTATCCTTCCTCCTTTTTGCTGACTTCGTTAATTAATAGAATGCTTCTTATAGATTTCTGGTTCTAGTCTCGCAGTGTTCCTGTAACGGCTCAAGCCTACCGCTAGCAGATATTGTCTTCTTTGGGTTTTTCCTTTTGGGCTTCCCTTCAAGGTTTTTTAAAACTCGTTTGCTAGGGAAACGCTTCCACACCCTTATAAAAGATGTTTCGTTCTCCTCCCCAACCAACGTGGGATTCTCACAGTTTCCGTTGGACTCAATTGCAATACTACTCTGTTTCATGTCCCTAACTTCACTTATCTATCTGTTTTGATCTACAGACACTTCATTCTTGCTAGTGCCATTGAAGGCATGGAATGATTGTATCAAAGATGGCGTTCGCACGGTCGGCTCACCGATACCAAGTAATCTACATCTTCCTTTCAGCTGCTGATTTAGTTCATTGACACCCTTTTGCCTGAAGAGTTCTATCAGCTGGTTTAGGTCTGCTTGTGGAATCACAATCACAAATAGGATTTTGATATGTAGTTTAAAGACTGATTTTTGTTTCATCAATCAGTAATGATGCACCCAGTAGCAAAAACTTCAGTCCTTGCATGTTTAACAACCGACTACTATACCGACATCAGTAACTCGGTATGTATCGACTTTAGCTGTTGTCTTGCATCCATTTTCATGCAGGAAAAGGCTGGAATCTTTAAAGCATGGAATCGAGAACATGAGAGACAGACGAGCCAGCAAAGAATGGAGTGGAGTGAGTTTTAGACATTGTGACAATTGACATTCCACACATTAGTTAGAGAGTGGAGTGAAACATTGTTTATATAGGTGTAGAAACTTCTTCCTAGTCGACCATTTTAAAACCTTGAGGGAAAGTTCAAAGAGGACGATATCGGCTAGCAGTGGAATTGGGTTGTTACAAATTGTATTAGAGCCAGACATCATGCAGTGTATCAGCAAGGATGCTGGCACCCTAAGAAGGTGGATTGTGAGTTCCCACGTTGGTTAGAAAAGAAAACGAAGCATTCCTGATATGAGTGGAGAAACTCTTTCTAGTAGATGCGTTTTAAGACGACAACAATATATAATGGACCAAAATGCATAATACTTACTAACCGTGAGCTTCGGTTGTTACGGACATGTTTGAGAGTACCTAGGAGAGACGAAAGAAGGAGAGAAATATCTGATAGTATGCTCGTGTAGGTTGCGATCAGATCGGTGGGATGGAGCGTGGGGCTGATGAGATGTGGGCCACAGTATTGAAAATTAAAAAAAAAAAGTCGAGATACTGACAAAAGAAAGCTTTGTCTTTTCGTGGTGCGTGTAAAGCGCAGCCCACTATGGCGCGTCGATATCCGCCAAAAGCCTCCGACATTCTCTTCCCAATCGCACCCAAATTCCCTCCTTTGACCGACCACCTTCCTAGGTTTCTCAGTTTTTTTACTGCCCACCTAATTTAACTTATTTTTTAATCTCCTAACTTCTCTATAACTTAGTTTATTTTTATTAAAATAATTGAAGATAAAATTATAAATTTAATTTCTTCAACTCTGTGATAATCTATTTCCAAACTAATTACACATCTTGTTTCAAGATTTATGCTTGAATATTAGTTTGATAGTATTTCAAGTCTTATTCAATTTTACTTCATTTAACTTTAATAAATCTTAAAATTAATTATTAACATTAATATAAAGTTAATATTTAGACTATTATACAAAAAAAAAATACTCTTTAAATTAATTGTATATTTTTTTTATTCAAAATTTGCAATATTACTATCGACCTTTCATAAATGTTTCAAAAATATTCTTAACGAAAAATCGTTAGAATGTTGGATAAAAGGTTAAAGACCTATCACCACGATGTTATTTTAAAGTCAATATTCTCTTAGTTTTTTGTTCAACATTCTAAAAAACTTGTACTTTACGTGTAAATTTGAAATGTATATATATACATATCGACAGTAACGACGTTGAAAAAATAAAAATATTTATTAAACGAGCAATAAAGTATATGAGGATTTTATGACTTAGTCTAATTATTAGTAAGTGGATGAAATAATAATAAACTTTTGGTTGAAGCAAAGATAATGTTTATATGTTTATGAAATTTGGAATCATAAAACAGCTTTAATTGAAGCAGTGAACCCAAAAATAAAATAAAAAAGATAAGATTTTGGTGCATTGTTTTTTGCCCAAATTCAGTGGCTTTTTAAAGATTATCACTTTTGAATGCTTTTGGTCTTACTCAACCTGACAAACTTTAGGCCTTTATGTTACCCATTTATTTACTACAAATCACATCAATGCAAAATTACTTTTCTTTTCTTCAAATTTTCAACTTTTGATATCTTTTCTCGATTTTCTTCGAAAAATCAATGTCACTCGATTATTATCAAATCGACTGCAATCTTTTTCTATTCGTAAAGATATCAATAGAGCGTCTTCTACTTTTAATAGATCATAAACTAGAACAGAATCATTCTCAGCGACCGAGGCAAAACAACTCAAAAGATAAAGAAGTAATAGATTGTTGAGTTCAAACAGATATATTAAATAAGTCAAGAACCTAGACACAAAATTGAAAATTTATTAAGCACTAATAAAAGTTTTGTACAAAGATGCACATACCATGTTAGGAGTCACAACTCTCCAATGATATGATATTGTCCACTTTAAGTATAAGCGCTCATGGCTTTGCTTTGGACTTTCCGAAAGGCCTCATTCGAATGGAGATACTATTCCTCACTTATAAACTCATGATCTTCCACTAAATTAACCAATGTGGGACTCACACTCAATGATCCTCAACATTTTGAAACCTATATCACACCAAATATATTATAAACGTTATTCTATATTTTGTCTTAAAAATACTTTTAAATTTTTCAAAGTTTCAATAATACCTTTAAATAAAGATTTTTGAAACACTATTAAAGTTTAAGGATATTTTTGAAATATTATTAAAAGTTTAAGGTTATTTTTTAAACAAAGTATTAACCGATAGTTTTTAGATTTTCTTTCAAAATTTATAGATATTTTTTAAATAAAATATAAATTTTTAAGGCGGGTTTTTATTAATTTAACCTATTTTTAATAATTCAGTCATGATTAAGTAATTATGTAGGGTATAAGCCATTAAACTTTTCTAGATTAACCAGAAGAGAAAAAAAAGAAAACAGTAATTATTATTAATTTACTGTTTTTCTTGAAAAATACGACCAAATTAGAACTTTATTTCCAATCAGTTTGGAGGTAAAAGTAAAACTTCGATTATCTTCCTCGTTTCAAACCAGTGCGTTACTCATAAAAAGGATTAAAAATGTGTCTTATTACAATTATTTTCAGTTATTATTTATATCTTTTAGGCTTAATTTTTTTATTTTCTTTTAGATATATCTAAAATTTAATTTATAATTTTCTAAAACACTCATAAATTAAATACGAGAAAAACGAGAATATTATCAAATAAATCTATAACATCGTTATCTCCTCACGAGAGATCAGGCTCGAGATTTTTTACGAGCGGATGTGTGTTAAATCTAAATCTTAAACTTTACAAAAAAACACAATCAAATACATAAATCGAAGCACTCTCTTCACATTTAAAAAACGACCCAAAAGAGTTCTTCAACATGAAACCCTAATTTACGAACAAAAAAAGATCGAAAGTTGTTAATGAAAGAGATCATCAAACCCTCATAAATGGGAAGAAGAAGATGAAGGATTAAAAGCATTCCAATAATGGCGATCCCAAAATGGCTTTCCCACATTCACATGGTGATCTCCATCGTCCTCCATTTTCGTCGCTTCCATCTTCCCGACAATGCTATAGCTCGACGATGCGTCGTCGCCGCCACCACCACCACCGTTTCCGAGCAACCGAGCTGGCTGCGTTCGGTGTAGCTGAAGCTGTGGCCGCCATTGAATTTGATCAAACCCTAAGAAGCTTGTTATCCCAATGGGGGGATGAGTTGAATCCATACCTCTTTCATTTTGTATGTAATTTAATCTCATTGTTTCTCCTCCTGATATCTCTGAAATTTAATGTATTTTTTTTTTAATTTAATCATCTCTCGACCAAAATATTAAATTTTCGAATCTTCGGCTCCACATATTATTGAAAAATAAAAATATTCGATAATGAGAGTCGATAATTTTTTAGATCTAAACAATAATTGAAGATTTCATGAGTTCGTATAAGAAAGTACCGGTGGTAGTCGTCGGTTGGCATTGGGAGTTAACCGGAGATTTAGAGGTACTTTTGGTTCTTTTATTATTCCGGCGGTAGCCGCCGCCGACCGGGACACTTCTAAGGGCGCCACCTCTGGTCCAGTAACGACGGCAGGTCTTGCAAAAGTGGCGTGGCTGAGAGAGGCTATAGTTGTTGAAATAACAAAACTTTGTGTTAGTTGATTCACATCTTGGACATTTCAGGGCTGTCTCCGGCACCGGCAGGTTCGCCATTCGGGCACGATCCACCATCGAGCCGGGGCGGACTTGTGGCGGCGCCCGTGGCGGCGAGACGAGCTGAAAACTGGTCCCAGATTGATGGGTTGGGGTTTGATGTTGCCATTGATGGGTTGTTGGATCAAGATAATTAGATGGGTGAGAGGGAAACACCATTGATGGGTTTGTAAAAGCTTTGATGGGTTTTTAGAGAGAGAGAGGGAAAGAGGGGGAGAGAGAAAGTTTCATGTCATTATTCTTTATACATTCTCACTAATTTTCTCTTTTTGTAATTATTGCTTTGTTTTTTTCTTTAGGGTTGTGATGGAGAAGCTCCCTCGTTTCTTAATCAATAAGTAGCGTCACAATCGCACTCTTACGACAACGGGACAATAACTGTGTAACACTTGTTCTAATCCAGCGAACATGTCTGAAAAATTTAGACTTTACAGATAACGTAGACGTATGTTCGAGTCTCGAGTTATATTTGAGAGAAATATTCTAAAAAACGGCTTTGATAGCATATAGCCCGAATAGGAAGAAGTGACGACTAGTCATATCTTCCTTATAGTACATTTTGGAAGGTATATACATGATTTTGGTGAACATTGTTATACACATTTATATTGACACAACATGAAATAGTAAAGACTTATCTAAAATGAAAGCATGTAAAGAGGGTTTGGAACAATCATGACGGAGACATTCGACATGTGGCATAGACAACATGTCTAGGACAAGTATGAACGTGACACAGAGCTAGCACCATGACAGCATAATTTATTTATATATTCAACTTAATATATTCCTAGCCGTGCATGAAACCACAAACGAACCTAGTGGTCGATTCTCATTAGGAAATGGAAACTAATTAGGAAATGAATTTTTGCTATGGAAAAGACTAAATTATATGAAGTGATTTAGAATTTAAAGGGACAAAATTGGAAAGAGTAGAGGAAAATAATAATTGAACTTAAAATTAAAGGGTGTCTCTTTAGGGCTTTGGGGCTCTTACAAAAGGTGAAGGACCTGACCAAATGAACCTTTATCACACATGGGTCATGTGGGTCATTTTTTTCAGACCAATAATAATAATAATAATAATAAAACTTTATTGCAAGTGTTTCTATTTAAATTTCAATAAAATAATTATTTTAAGGAATAATATTACATGGATCTTTGCTTCATTAAAGTAATAATAATTATTTTATTTTATTTATCTTTTTTCTATTTTGAGGGACTGAGAGATTCCTCTGAAAATAAGGAACATTATTTTTGCCTTTTCTTTTTCTTGTTTAAAATCCGAGTTTTATTTTTATTTTGGATATAAAAAAATTATATGCTTGGGGTCTCACTCATATTTGATTAATTTTTAATCTATAATTTTGTTTATTTTTACTCTTTTTTATTTAAATATTTCATAA